AAATTATATATTAGGCCTTTCCAGTAGGGTCTCCATTAACATTGATTATATCAAAGAAAAATATTGAAAAACAAAAAAAGTTGAAAAAGTGCACATTTTGAATTCACTTCCTGTAGCAACCGGAAGTACTGACGACGCTAACGAAGTCAAAATTGCACATCTATAAGTCATGGTCTATCATCTCTAATAAGTCTCCAGTTAATATCTTTAGCCGTTTTCGAGAACACTCGAAGACAAAATTGCATTTTAAAATCAGGAAATTGCCCATAACTTGGCACTGGTACCGAATTTTCCAGCAAACGGAATTTTATATTAAATTCATATAATGACCTATAATTCCTGAAATTTTTATTGAAATCCACCGAATAGTTTACGAGAAATCGCCTGCACAAAATTTTGTCTAAAAAAAAAGAATAATAATAATAACTAGAAACGAAACTCGTTGCGAGCAACGAGAGGTCTTCCGTCCGATTCAGAAAAAAAACGTAAAATCAAACTGAAAAAGTGATTTTAAAAATCGGACACACGGGGGATCGAATCCGGGTCGCCAGCGTGAAAATCCATTGCGGTACCCATTACACCTTTGGGAACCCGCTTCAAATTTAACATTCGAATATCGCGAGATTGCTTTTTTATTATTCCAACATACATTACATTTTTTTTTAAAAATTCAGTTTGGAATTGTCAAATGACAGCCAGCTTGCCAAACTTTTTTCAAGATGATCACATCGGAATTTGTAACTTGAATTTTATCAGTAATTTTTTAGGATAGATAATCTATTAATGATGAACAGATGATACAGTTTTCTTTCCTTTTTTCGATATGTATTCAACTTTTTATCCCATGCAACTCCATATACAGGCATGCCAATGTTATATATTTCTGCACTATTGTCGCCATTTGTCTACTACTAAGTCGGGTCATGATGCATTATTTCGTGCCAAACGTCACAATTAGTTCTTAACGCTATTCCTTTGAAATGTTTGATTTATTTAATGGATGTGATAGCTTCAATGAAAATTAGAAATGTATGTTCTTATAACCAGAATTTCGAGCGTTAGAAAGTACGAGAATATTTATCACATTATACAAATATAATTTCGTATACGGCCAAGTAACAATAAATCTGTGAATTCGGTAAGATTTTCCACGTATTTTGCATCCTGTTTACCCCCAAAGTGGAGATGAGTTACACGTTCATGAAAAGACTGGAATGTTTCACTGAAAAAAAAAAATCACTCGTCCTCCGACGGTCAAGGAATCTGATACTATTTATGTCAATAACTTGCATTTATTACAAGAATATTCATATAACCTTTAATAAACAATCTTTTAAAAATGTTTTTTCTTATTTTTGTCTTTTCTATTCATTTAATATGTCACAAGCCTGCGTAAAGAAAAATAAACAGAAGTCAAGTCATACTTCAGAAACATAGTGAATATTAAGTCAGGCAAGTTTCTTGAAAAGTATTATAACCATGGTTTAGTGGGTAAGTTTTCCCTGGTGCAAAATAAAAGACTGAAGTCATCGTATTTCCACTTGTAGTCATGTTGTATTCTACATTGAGATGCAGACAAAAGCGATTTCAATAGAAGTTTGAGGAAACCTCATGTTAAAAGTATACTCAATGCAACGTAATTGCGATGTAGCAATCAAAAGAATCCTTTACATTTCATAAATCTTTTTCGTAGAAGTTTCGTTCATCTAAACGCTCAGCTGACCTTCTAGAACCCGACTTGCTTAATGGCGGAGTTTACCGAGACCGCCGCCATCTTGGACACGCTTCAGATTTTTAAATGCGAATATCTAGTGTGTGGATTGATCAATTCTTACATAAATTATATATTAGGCCTTTCCAGTAGGGTCTTAATTACCATTAATTATATCAAAGAAAAATATTGAAAAACAAAAAAATTGAAAAAGTGTACATTTTGAATTCACTTCCTGTAGCGACCGGAAGTACTTACGACGCAAAAAAAGTCAAAATTGCACATCTATAACTCATGGTCTATCATCTCTAACAAGTCTCCAGTTAATATCTTTAGCCGGTTTTGAGAACACTCGAAGACAAAATTGCATTTTAAAATCAGGAAATTGCCCATAACTTGGCACTAGTACCGAATTTTCCAAAAAACGGAATTTTATATAAAATTCATATAATGACCTATAATTCCTGAAATTTTCATTGAAATCCACCGAATAGTTTACGAGAAATCGCCTGCACAAAATTTTGTCTAAAAAAAAAGAATAATAATAATAATAATAATAATAATAATAATAAGAAACAATAGAATCACTATAAGGTCTTCCGTGAAGACGGAAGACCTTAATAATAATAATAATAAACAGTAGAATCACTATAAGGTCTTCCGTGAAGACGGAAGACCTTAATAATAAGAAACAGAGTAAAAACAATATGTTCCCCAACTTCGTTTGGGGAACATAATAAGGTGGGATCATACCGAAAAAATGTCATTAAAAATTGATAGCTATTAAATATCTTATGAGAAAGTACCGGTATATAAAACTTAAAATTTCGGGACTAGAAATGAAAATTCTTCATATTATATTATCAACTACCTTTTTTTTAATTACTATACATTTTATAACAATCTATATCCATCGGCTTGAAATCTGACCTGTTGACAAAAATGGCGGCTACGTTGACATAAGTGGTACATTAGAGTGTGATCAAATAGGTTGATCGTTCAATTCACTCCTACAGGAATACATAAGGCATTTTAATATCATGTCACAAGTTTAGAAAATGGAGAACTCTTAGGATTTTTCACCTAAGAACTGGAAAATGAAATAGACTTGGAAAATATTAGAATTATTTCAATTAAATTACAAATTACAAATATAAACAGAACAAACTAGGTAAAGGTTTACAGATGAAAACAAATTTTAGAATAACTGATATATATAATTTAGAAAAGTAAACCAAAATCAGGTCAATTTTATCAGGGAAAGCAAAATGGTAGAATCAGCCTATATGATATTGCTGATTCTTTGTCATTTTGAAAAAAAAAATTGTATCATCTCTTTTTGATTGACTGAATTAGTTTCTCTTATAATAAGGAAAGATCGATCTAAAAATCTGGATGGAGTGAAACTGTGCAGCTATATATTAACCCCTTCACTTCCGGCAAACGAAAAGCAGTACATGTTTTGTCAAGATTTTGTATATCATACGGAAAAGAAAAGATACATGTATATAGTAGTTGCTTTCTATTAATACATGTATATGTACCTAAAAGAAGCTATATTTCAGAATTGCTTGATACAAGATCTGTCCTACAATGTGTGATACATAAGAAAAATAATGTAGGTGTTCAATTCCCCATTTTCAAAAGTGAGTTATCTCCCCTCGAAATCGGAACTCTTCTACACTAGCATAACCTCCGCGGACTACGCATTACGATAATCCAACAAAAAAGTGATCAACTTACTCATTGCATTTAAAAATTTTAAAAGAAGGAAACGGTTTGCAAATTATTTTTAGATAATAAGCGATTTTAGAAAAGGTCTGTTACCCCCCCCCCCTTTTTAGAAATCTTTATGGCACGTAGCATCGTCTTTAAAAGTGGGGGGTGGGGGGAGCCAAAGAAATATTTTTTTCTTACCTGGAAAAGTTGACTTGCAAAGAAAAACCTTGCCCAAAGTCGAAAAGCTACTTATTTCAGTACCAATTCATTGGCATACAATACTACATTTCCCTTATAGAAGTTTACCGTAGTATAAACTGTGTAAACTGTGTGTGTGTGTGGGGCGGGGGGGGGGGGGGAGCAACTACGTGCCTGTTAGCTGGAAAACAACTTCATCAGAAATTTGCATTTCTATGTTACGTTATTGTAATTTTTTCTTAAAATCTTACATGTATAATCTACGGGATACATCTTATTTATGTCTTAAAAATGGATAATTTACAAAATTACACGTATTTACGCGAAATACGCTAGGAAATTATTGTATCAATTTCGTGTTTCTGCTATCAATTCTCTGATCTAAAACAAAATGTGTATTTTACTCGGTAATATACATGTACATATGCTTAGATCCTACATATGTACACTAAAACTTTGATTAAATGCAGCTATACGACTTCTGTAACACGAATTCAGATCGATGCTATTTTAATTAGTCTTTCTTCGTTACATGAGCACTTGAGATTAAATTATTCATTTAGAATTCCATTCTAAGTTTGTATACTATATACAGTAAATCAATAATTTTACAAATGACAAATTCTGGAAACACGGTTAATTCAAATGAAATGGGTCACCAAATGTGTTCTTTTAAGTAAAAGTTCTATGCCATGACATACAATCGAGCAAAAAACGCAGTTTCTTGATATCGGTCGTGGAAGACGAACTACTGCTGTTTATGCAAGAATTTCAGAGGTAAAACTGTAAATGAACATGTCATCAGTGTCCAAAAAATTCCTAGAGATTATGGCTGCAGCAGGCTAGATTAATTCGTAAAAACTGTATATAACTAAACTTGAAATTCTGATATTTGTTCTGCACATTTTGTAAATAATGACGATCCGTCTGCAGAACATCCACTACCCAAAATTATCTTTTTTTTTTTTTAAATAGGCCGAATATGTATCAGCATTTTATCAGTAATTAGTTTCGGGATTTTTTGTAAGGGGGGGGGGGGCTCACACAGCGCCTTATTATACTATTATAAAGATTAATACAAATCCAGAAGGAGACTATGTGTGGGCAATTTAAAAAAAATACGAATCAGCTAAGATTCTTTTTTTTTATACAACCCTGTATAATATAACAATAACATTTTTCCATATGACAGATGCATTACACCATGAACATGTTTACATCATTAAACACAGTAAAAGAGTTCCTTTCAGGGGAAATAACTCACCTTTTGAAAATGGGGAATAGAGAGGAAAATAACGAGTACAGTTTTGATAATTGTTCTTTACTTTAATTGATATCTGGATAATTAAAGGTTATCAATACTCTGTTACAGGTGACAGTTTGACTTATAACAGTGGATCTAGATTTACTACTAAAGACCAGAAGAACGACGGGTATAGTGGTGTTAACTGTGGGACATTATTTCACGGAGCCTGGTGGTACAGATCCTGTACCCTATCAAACCTTAACGGAGAGTTCGGACAGTCTGGTGTGTCTGGTGGTAAATACACGACGTGGTATTACTGGAAAGGAAATGAAGCATTAAAACAGACTGTGATGATGATCAGACACAGGAACTAGAATTAGATAATGTATTATGAAATATATGATTACATTATCATTTTTATAATGATAATAATTGAAACAGTATAAGCAACGTTTGAGTATTTACTTATCTAACAAAATGATGAAGATTGGTGCAATGGACAGCTACAATCTTCTACAAGCTACAAGTTTCTTTGAATGAAATTTAGTAAAATTATCATTTCTTCTTTTTTGAGTAATTATTACTAAATATTGAACATATAAGCAGGTTTATTAAATAAAATGTTTATAAAAACACCAAATAATATAAACCATTAGGCATATATCTACGTACAAGCTTCATTTAAATGCATATATTACAAAGTAATCAAAATTTTCAGTATCTCTACACATTTCCACGAAATGATAAAATGTTAATGTATACAATTAATACACATGTTAATTCTGTAGACCTTGTACGACAAATTAAGATTTAATTTATAAAGCATGTCAACGGACTAGGTTTTTGAGGAAAATGATATGGCAGAGCCCCTAGTTGGAAATACCCAACATGGCTTTACTATCACAGTAAAAAAAGTTATAGCTCTACACAATGCCATGATGTTATTGGACACAAGATCAAGACTCCTGGGGCTCGATTCTCAAAAATGCTAACGGTGGTAAGCTTATTAGTACGGACAAATCAGTAACTAGACCCGAGAATTGAACTATGTTGCGCTTCACAAAATTTCGGAGACTTAGTCAAGACCAAACTTCAGCTGAAATATACGTCCTTAACACGTCGAGAAGAAGTAAGTTTTTATCCTGTACACAACTTTGTTAAAGTGGCAGGTGTTTTTAAACACCAAAGTTTAAAGCTGAGAATAACAATTGTAGAGGGATACGATATAAAACCTATTCATATACATTAATGATATACAAAACAAAATCATGAAATATACAATTATATGACGTAGATAAATTATAGAAAAAGCAGTGAAGTTCAGCAAGGATGCAGCCTTTTTCCGTAAAAAAGTGGGAGAAATTAGAAACTAGAAAACTAAGAATTTTGAAATATGAAATTGGATAAGAATTTAAGAAGTGTCCAAAATAAAAAAAAAAAAAAACAACAACAGGCATGTTTAGATTGGGGAGTGGTTTGCAATCCTCTTCTTTTTCAGTCATAGTGTTTTCTGTTAAAAATTTAAATTGTAATTTAGACTGACCTGCACTTTCATTATTTCTCTTTTTTTTACTGTCAAAGTTTGATGAATATTTTGGTTACTAAATCACCTCATCTCTTCGATTCTCACACATACATTTTCAAAAATATAGCTGGGCCCCAGATTTTTTTTTGATTTCAATGGATAATGTTTTTAACACCCATTCTCAATATAAGGGCACAAATGGCTCTCTGATTTTTTAAAAAATGAAGTTCAAGAAAACAATTTTTCTATCAATTACCTTTGAAAGAAAGTATCTGAAGATTTTGTTTCCAGATTTTTTTCATCAAATTATAATACATGGAATTATGACAAGACGATAAAGCAGAGGGTGATTTTATTCAGAAATGTAGCTTGAAATGTACATTACTCTTTCTTCAGTGTCCAAAAAGATATGTAAAAAAAAATGTAGTCATTAAAATCACAATTGGAATAGCTCATCTTAACACCAGCACATCCTGCCAACTCTGTCAGCAACATATTTTCTCGGCATACGAACGTGCGTTGATTTTTCCTTTCAAAAGACAATGGTTACTTTTTAAT